GCCGAAACGATATGTTATCGACGAAATGGCAGCAGAACATGGGCATATCGTACTAAGAATTCCCCCATACCACTGTCAATACAATGCCATTGAGCTCATTTGAGCTCATTAGGCACAAATAAAAGACACGCCGCTAGAAATAATACTACTGCTCACTGCAAACAAAATGTTAGATTTGTTAAAACATGCGTGTGCTAATGTGACTCCTGAAAACTGGGCAAGCGTCGTTGAAAAAACGATAAGAGAAATATTTTCATATTTTCAGATACTGCTACTGCTCACTGCAAACAAAATGTTAGATTTGTTAAAACATGCGTGTGCTAATGTGACTCCTGAAAACTGGGCAAGCGTCGTTGAAAAAACGATAAGAGAAATATTTTCAGATTGGGATCGTGATGTTGTATTCGATAATTTTTGTACTAAACAATTCGTCATTAATGTCATTGATGATTCCAGTGACGATTCTAGTTCATTTGAAGAAGAATCAGACGATTTAATGTAATAAAATAATATTAAAATAATTAACTTGTTTTATTCCATGTACCTATAGATGAAAGCATATTAATGCCCAAAGGCGTTATATAAAGTGACTTTAATTTACGTGGTGTTTTCTAAAAAAAAACAGTTTTTATTAGAAAAAAACACGTAATGTTATGCATACTTAAATAAAATATTAATTAAAACTTCTTCATAAATAAAATCGATTACTGAGATAAATCGAATTGGTAATGCATAAGTACATAACTATTTGATCAGTACTCGGAACTGTCGAAAAGATAATAATTTGTTGGAAATATTAATTATAACACAATAACGTCATACTCATAATCGTGAATCAATATGTTCATATCGACGGAAGAAAGCGATTTTGTCGTATCTCAAAATATCTAGTTTTACACCAAAGCCATAAAACTGTTTAAAAAAATCATAACTCCTAAATGAAGAAAGATAGGAAGTTGAACTTTGGAACATATTTCTATCAATCAAAACATTATTTAACACAATTAATTGGAATATCCTAAAGTTACCATATCATTGATATTTTACTAGTTACAGCAATTGATGTTTTAATATCGAGTAGCGGAAATGCTGTATCTACAAAGTAAAATGTATGACGAATTAAAATACATACTAGTTTTCAGGCTATGGATCTGCTGTATCTCAAATATGAACTATGCGAAACAAGGCTATTTTGCTGTATAAAGTTTTGATTCAATTTGTTAATAAAAACACAATGTTTTAAATGCAATTGTCATTATAGACGTTATAAAAATAAAATACTTTATCTTTTATTATATTTTTTTATTATAGTTACGAAAATGTAATGACATGAAAAACAGACTGATTAGTCTGCTATACTTTCTATTCTTTATTAATTAAGTTTCGACTCTGATGAGGGTATTGATGTCATTTCTGATATCTCCAGTGTTGTGATTCATACTGACGTGGTATTCAAATTACTCTCTAATCTTGATATAAGTAAATCAGCAGGCCCAGATCATCTTCCAGCTCTATTCTTGGTAAATTGTGCGCCCAGCATTACTAAGCCCATTTCTTTGTTATTTTAGCGTTCTCTTTCTGAATCCAAAGTACCTAATATATGGAAGCAGGCATTTGTTACACCTGTCTTAAAAAAGGGGGCTAGGACTGAAGTCATTAATTATAGGCCTATCTCTAACTTGTGTGTGGTGGCAAAGGTATTAGAAAAAATTGTTAACTCTCAATTATTTAACGCCATAAAAGATTCTCTAGCAAATTACCAGCATGGGTTTATGAGTCATAAGTCTACAGTTTCTAATCTTATATTACTTAACGACTATATATCAAAATCTATGGATGACGGATCTCAAGTAGACGTCATCTATACTGACTATTCAAAAGCATTCGATAGGATTGATCACGTCATACTTCTGGCCAAGCTAGCTCGGATCGGTGTTAGGGGTGACTTGTTGAGATGGTTTTCATCCTACATAGATAACAGGTCTCAAGCAGTAGTCATAAGTAATCACGTATCTAGTTGGGTGATTATACCTAGTGGAGTAGCCCAAGGCTCATTGCTGGGTCCTCTCCTCTTCAATATATTTGTCAATGACATAGGAAGTTGCTTCAAGTACTCAAATCTTCTATGCTTCGCGGATGATATGAAGATATATGCTGAAGTAAAATCTGTTGCGGACTCAGTAGCACTACAGTTTGATTTAGATAGTCTGGGTGAGTACTGTGTAAGAAATAAGTTGGACCTTAATCCTTCTAAGTGCTTTTCTGTCACATTTTCGCGAAAGTCAATTGTTATTAATCACGTTTACACTATAAACAATCAAGACCTCCAAAAAGTGAGTGAGATTAGGGACTTGGGTATCATACACGATTCCAAGCTTATATTTGATTCTCATATTCACTCTATTATTCTTAAAGCCGCTAAGTTATTTGGGTTTATAATGCGAAATTCGGCTTGCTTTTCTCGAATTAAAACTTTTAAAATATTATACTGTGCTTATGTTCGTAGCCAACTGGAATATGCGTCTCAAATTTGGAATCCTAGATATGCCACTTATATTGACAGAATTGAAGGCATTCAGAAGAAATTTATAAAGTTTCTGTGCTATAAGATGAATAGACCATATGATTCATCTGAATACCTCCAAGTATGTAAAGAGCAACATTTACTGCCACTAGTGCTCCGTAGAACAGTAGCCGACATTGTATATCTGCTTAAAATTATAAATTGTCAAGTTGATTGTCCAGAATTGTTGCGTATCATCAAATTTTCAGTCCCGACAAGATCGCAGAGATATTACCGACCTATAGCGATCCCCTCGTCATCTACAAATTATAGGCAAAATAGCTTTATTGTTAGGGCCAGCGTAAGCTTAAATATGATGCTTGATGAGTGTGGGTATGATGTAGACATCTTCGATTGCAACATTAATTCATTTAAGCGGAAACTAATAGAAAACTTACTGTCTCGTTAACTTATGGCGCAGGTACGATTACTTATTTGATTGTGTAGCTTGTGTGTGAATTAACTGGTTAGATCTGGTTAGAATAGTGTATTGATCACTGTACACAAAATTATATTCTATTCTTACGATGTAACAAAGTTTTTCGCTATTAATTAAATGTTTGATTTGTAGTAACTGTTCGATAAACACACACCAGTTCGAACCATACTGCTGTATCTTTGGCAACGTAAAATTTTTGAGCGGCTGAAATGCTGTACCTCCTAAAAATCTACATTCGCAATAGAAAAATAATGTTGTAACTATTTCTCATTCTGGACTTATTGTCGTATCTACTTTACTTTCAAAAGTTGTGATTTTGCGTCTTTTTACAGCAATTTATCGTATAAACAGCAGAAAATCTACAAAAAAGTCAACGGCGTATCATTATTTTTTTTCATCGTAGAAAGACGAGACATCGACCATTAGACGCGGCTTTTTTTTCTTATCGACAATACACTTAAAAGTCATAAAGGCCAAATTTCGAGTTACAACATTTCCGCTTTCTGCCATCGATATATTGTATTTATATTTGTTTTTAGCCCACGGCTTTTCTGGTAGTAATTACATAGATAAAGCATCTGTTTCATTGAATTTTGTGCTAAACTATTAATAACATTGCTAAATCGTTTAATGAATAAAAAGTACTAGTGGATTTAAATATAAAAATATATATATTTATCTGATTATTAAAAATAGACTATATTTGTAGTCACTCTTTTTTAAGATACAAATAACTTAAAAGTTATATTTTTATGCTCAAAATTGGCAACCCCGCTAATTGAAAACAGGCTTATCTACCTTACTTTAAGAACAAGCCGTGCCTGCCATATTATGAAAAAAAAAAAGTTGCCTTATATATAAAAGTACCGCGGCAGATACATAATGACAAGACGCATAGGTCAATAATTTTAGTGTTTATAAATCCTACAGTGCTTTCAAAGCTTGTTTGTTATTTGCCTACCTATAAAAACTTTTCAGTATTATGGACTAAAAAAATTGAGCATGGATTCGAATAAAACTTTTGTAGGTACGCCGGTTTCTGAGGTAATGGTTCGTTTCTCGGTTGGGTCTTTGTTAAAAATGGTATTTGCTATATTGGTTTTGGGTGTTTTGGCATCATCGTTATTTCAGATTTCCTTAATACATTTGCTAATTAATTTGGGTTCTGAGCAATGATAATGTTGTCTAATAATGAGGAAGTATTTAAAAAAAACATTAGTTCCCGAAATCAAACTAGATGTCGCTACAGTACGTTCTTGATTTCTCCATGACAACCTTTCCGGTTTTCTTTCAAGTTTAAAAGTAAATCTAAGTTTCGAACTTTTCAAATTTCAGTTTCTAATATGTTAGTTAAAAGGAACGGAATTTACTCTTTGGTCCATTCGTTTCCTGCAAAAATCAACTTTTGCTAGAGTCACCATCTAGTAGAGGTGCTGTTTCAGTGCTTTCGCTTTTTTTTAATACTTCCTCATTACGTATATATTTGTATTTCGAGACTTTTTGCAACTCCAATACATTTAATCTAACCCTCAAAAAGTCAGTGGCGTTTACTACAGGATGGCAAGTCGGCAAAATGCCACGGGCCCCGGTCAGAGGAGACTCCTTACTCCTGACATTTATTATTACACAGTTAGTAAAAAAATAGAATATCCGATGAATTTGCCACGGGCCTCAAACGGAATAGCTATGCCACTGCAGAAAGTGGAACAATTAAGTTACCAACAACCTCAGCACCAGAACCACAATGAATTTAGACCCTCTGTCTACTTAAATATTTTATTTTTTCTATTACATACTGAAAGTGGATTTCCTTACTAGATAAATTCTATTTTCACAATACTATACAATCATGTGAGGTGAATCCAAAATTACTTTATATTGTGAATTTTAAATTCTTCAGAATTCAAAAGACTTTAGAGCTCAAAATCCAAGATAGTGGTGCTAATTATAATAAATGGACACTCCATTGCAACACAACAATTAAATCCAATGATTTTCAATAGATGTTTTAATAAAGTTTCTTAAATTAAAAACAAATTGACTGTGTTAAAAAATAATAAGTAATCTTATATATAAATTTTGAACATCAATATTGTACTTTATATTGTTATTTAATTTAAAAATATGTTATGAATCCCTATTTATCCCATAGATCATCAATATAGCACCCTTCAATCACAAATTGAACTTTTACAAGTTTGCATGATACTTTTTGTAAGGAGCTAATCCAGCTGCTATCTTGCTCCCTAAATCTGGGTGGATGTGAGTAAAGATTTTAATGGCTCTTTCCTGTATAAAACCAGCAGCATCTTTAAGGTTACCCACAATATTATCAATGCAACGTTGTTTTGCAGCATCATCAAACACATTTTTGTATAGCGCAGTAGCCTGTGAGAAATTGTCTTCAGTTTGACCACTATCATACCTATCTACATCTCCACTCAAATTGTAACGTGGCTGTAAGCGCTGAGCACGTGGGCATTCTTGAGGTCCAGAGAATGAATTGGGGAAGTAATTAGGACATCCTTCTTGATTATTAATGGCCTGTGGGCCATCACGTTGGTAATTGGCCACTTTGACACGATATGGACAGTTAACAGGAATTTGCAAATAGTTTGCACCCAAACGATGACGATGAGTGTCATTGTAAGAGAACAAACGCCCTTGTAACATTTTGTCAGGTGAAGGCTCAATACCTGGGATCAAATTAGCAGGGCTGAAAGCAGCCTGTTCGACTTCAGCAAAATAGTTCTTAGGGTTACGGTCCAAAACCAATTTACCAACAGGGATGAGAGGGTATTCAGCATGAGGCCAAATCTTAGTCAAATCAAATGGATTGAATTTACATGTCTCAGCTTGGGCCATAGTCATAACTTGGATATAGAGAGTCCAAGATGGAAAATCACCCCTTCCAATAGCATTATATAGATCTCTGATAGAATAGTCAGGATCAGATGATGCAAGCTCTGCAGCTTTGTCAGCTGGCAAGTTCTTAATGCCTTGATTTGTTTTGTAGTGGAATTTCACCCAGTGTGCCACTCCTTGAGCATTAACAAGTTTAAATGTATGGGAGCCATATCCATTCATATGCCTGTAACCATCTGGAATACCACGGTCTCCAAACAAGTAAAGAACCTGATGGGCAGTCTCAGGTCTTAAAGTCAAAAAGTCCCAGAACATATCAGGATCCTTCAAATGGGTAGCTGGATTTCTTTTCTGGGTGTGAATAAAGCTCGGGAATAGTGTTGGGTCCCTAATGAAGAAAATAGGTGTATTGTTGCCAACAAGATCCCAATTTCCATCATCAGTATAGAATTTAACAGCAAATCCTCTTGGATCACGGACTGTATCAGCAGAACCGCTTTCTCCTCCAACAGTAGAGAACCTCACAGCAATTGGTGTTCTTTTGCCAATACTCTCAAAAACCTTTGCAGCACTGTATTTTGTAATATCATGAGTAACTTCAAAGTACCCAAATGCACCAGCACCTTTAGCATGAACCACACGCTCTGGGATACGTTCTCTGTCAAATGCAGAGATTTCATCCAAGAAATTTACATCTTGAAGAAGAGCTGGACCATTTTTACCAACAGTTTGGATTGCTGTTTTCACACCCACAGGTGAACCTGACTTAGTTGTGATGAATCCAGGTGAATCCTGTAATGATAAAAACAATAAATTTACAAGATGGATTGATAAACACAAAAAAACAAACATAAAAAAAATATCAATTAATAAATATCATCATTCAAGTTTAATTACAATTGAATCTTATTTTTGAGTTTTAAACAAGTTTGCCATGGAAAAGCATAATATTCCTTTTTTAATTCAATTATTGCAGTTGACTTATTTTACTCAATTAATAAATTTTACAAAGATTTGATAAATATTATACAAAAATTAAAATTAGTTCGCATAGATGCAATTGTACAATATCATTCACATATCACTTGGCACAATAAACTGTTGAAATAATAAATTTAATTTCACAATATAAAAATCACAAAATAATAAAAGAATGTAGAATCACATATTTCAGATTGATAATTAGAATATCTGATTTGATATAACGTCATCTCACTATCTTAATGATAATTTAAATAGAACTTTAAAATAAATCTTCATTGCCAATAAATTTTAAGATAAAGCAGAGCATACATTAACAACAGAGTGGTAATTAGATAACATGTTCATCAGTTTCCCTTTGTCACAACAATTACACACTATCTTTAAATGCTAGAAATTTCATTTGGTAACATAATTATCATAGGGTTCAGAGTACAAAATGACAATATATATTGGGTCATAGATTAACTAATTAGCATTGGTATAGTGCTTTGAATATAGGACATTAAAAATTACTTCTTTAAACTACATACCTTAATGGATTTTTTATATTCCACTAATTGGTCAGAAGCAGGATCCCGTGATGCCATATTTCCTTCGGAGCAATGAATCAAATTAACGGAGCGACACACTGGACGCGTACCGTGGTCGCAAATAAAATACCGCAAGTAACGCTTGTGAAGTTCTTTATATAGAGTTGAATTGGAAGCGATAAACAACTATCGCAGAAAACATGCACGACCGGTAGATAACTTGTTCACAATCATTAGTTTATTAGAACTTCTCTACTTATTAAAATAGACAGATAGGTAACCGATTGTTTTTTGGATTAATCCGTCGTGTGCATATCTTCTTCTTAAGGAAAAGTTAATTAATCACTTTCCTAAATGACGTTAATTAATTTTATGGAGTTCAGAATATTACGATGGATGATGTAACGTAAGTGAACATAAAACATAACCAGAAAAACAAGATAAAATAGAGGTTTGTATTGGTAAATAGAGTCGACACCACGCGAAGCGAGCGATTGGACCAATCAACATACAATACGTTTCGCTTTCAATTTAACTCGCTCCATGCTCGCACCTCTCTCATCTCGCCTGTCACGTGACGCTGTAAACATAGATTTGTACAAATCTATGGTTTTGACAGGAAATGGAAAAATCTTGATCTTGCTATTGTTTTGATCGGTCTTGATGGTCTTTTTCTCCCATTTTTTATCTAACGCCATGTGACGGTAACCGCCGGACTGCTATCTCGGTCATAGGGTGGATGATTAAAATTTTATAATCTCGAACTATAGCTCGGTGGCGTAGAGAATTAGCGCCGCGGCGCGATCGTTGTTTTTAAGCAACTTTCGCAAGGGTCGGTCACGGGATGAGTGTCCAAAAAAAAATTAGTATCTCGACCTACTTCGTGCTTCGGAAGGCACGTTAAGCCTTTGGTCCCGGCTGCATTTTCAGTCGCTAATATCCTCCAATTCGCATTGGACCCTCATGGGGAGTCATGGCCCCTCCTCTTTAACCATCCATGAGGACCCAGATAGCATGCTAACTTGGGGCAAGTTTGATTTTTCTTTGATTCTAAATTGCTGCGTCAAATATACGAGGCAATTTTGTGACAATGTCTTTTTGAATTAACTGTTGATTACTCACTAGCAACCACAGCAGACGCCACATCAATGATCATGAATGCAATTATTTGCAACTTTACAAGAAATTACTCGGTGGAAATACTCGTACCAAGCAGGGAGAAATGGTCAGAACAACATGATCCCTTCAAACACAGAGCCTTCTCTGGTTCACAGGTGGCTCTAAAATGGATCGTTATGTAGGATGTGGAATATTTGACGAAATACCAAAATATTTAAAAAAAATCTAACTTTGGTATAAACACCACCATATTTCAGGCTGAGATATTTGAGGATGTGCGGAAGCCAATCGTCAAAACTACATACATCAAACCATTTACATCTTTTGTGACAACCAAGCAATACTCAATACCTTACAATCGAACACAATAATTTCAAAAATTGGTAAAGGGCTGAAGTGACAATAAAATTATTCTCAAATGGGTACCAGTGCTAAATTTGACATCAAAGTGTACCGTACAACTGACAGGCGTTGAAAGTAATGAAAGAGTGGACGACCTGGCCAGAACTGGGCAACAGGAACAACAAATCGGCCCTGAACTTTTGTGCGGTATTCCGAAAAACTATGCAATGTAAATAGTGACATAATCAACTAAGATTGAATCACGCTTATTCTCTTATTTGCAAAAAATAACTGCAGAGGTTCTGAAGCTAACCTGAACAAACATTCCAGCGATAGTCCAAGCCTTAACTGGTCACTGCAAATTAGACGACACACCAATTTCATATGAAATTAGTGACAATGATATTTGTTGATACTGTAAACAGGAGGGTGAAACACCAATACATCTCTTGTGTCAACCTGCGACGATACATTATCAGCCCAGAAGGAAAGCTCTAAAAGTCAGGAACATAATAGACTTCCTCAAGGCTATTTCGGCAGCGAGTGACAAAAGGTTGCAGTGATTGCAGTTTAAATTGCTATCTGGAGAACACCTGAGCCCCTGAGTGGGGACGTAAAAGAGCTGATGATGATGATGATGAATCTCGAACTTCCTCGTGCTTCGGAAGGCACGTTATGCCATTAGTCCCCGCTGAATCTGCAATCGTCAATACCTATCAAACCGCCCTAGTGTCCAACCTAAAACCGAAAACTAAGTTTCGACCGAAATCGAAACTTAATTACGAGGATCAATCTTTGAGGAAAAATAAAGAAAACATTATTATAGTTTATTATTGTTATTGAATTTTTGCAGTTCCTTATGGGACTGCAATCACTTCAACCTTTTGTCACTCGCTGCCGAAATAGCCTTGAGGAAGTCTATTATGTTTCTGACTTGTAGAGCTTTCCTTCTGGGCTGATAATGTATCGTCACAGGTTGACACAAGAGATGTATTGGTGTTTCACCATCCTGTTTACAGTATCAACAAATATCATTGTCACTAATTTCATATGAAATTGGTGTGTCGTCTAATTTGCAGTAACCAGTTAAGGCTTGGACTATCGCTGGAATGTTTGTTCAGTTTAGCTCCAGAACCTCTGCAGTTATTTTTTGCGAATAAGAGAATAAGCGTGATTCAATCCTAGTTGATTATGTCACTATTTGCATTGCATAGTTTTTCGGAATACCGCACAAAAGTTCAGGGCCCATTTGTTGTTCCTGTTGCCCAGTTCTGGCCAGCTCGTCCACTCTTTCATTAATTTCAACGCCTATCAGATGTACGGTACACTTTGATGTCAAATTTAGCCCTGGTACCCATTTGAGAACAATTTTATTGTCACTTCAGCCCTTTACCAATTTTGAAATTATTGTGTTCGATTGTAAGGTATTGAGTATTGCTTGGTTGTCAGAAAAGATGTAAATGGTTTGATGTATGTAGTTTTGGCAATTGGCTTCCGCACATCCTAAAATACCTCAGCCTGAAATATGGTGGTGTTTATACCAAAGTTAGATTTTTTAATATTTTGGTATTTCGTCAAATATTCCACATCCTACATAACGATCCATTTTAGAGCCACCTGTGAACCAGAGAAGGCTCTGTGTTTGAAGGGATCGTGTTGTTCTGACCATTTCTCCCTGCTTGGTACGAGTATTTCCACTGAGTAATTTCTTATAAAGTTGCAAATCATTGCATCCATGATCATTGATATGGCGTCTACTGTGGTTGCTAGTGATTAATCAACTGTTAACGTCACAGGTCCATGTTTTTGACAGTTGGACAACTACTAGCAACCACAGCAATGGCGATAGGACGCCGCCCTGTGGACAACCTGTAGTAGTTTTGAAACATTTTGTTACTCCGTTTAGGTCGACGTTACCGGTCCTGTTTAGAAGAATTGATTCGATCCATCAGGTCGTTGTGCAGTTAATCCCTTTATCTCTCATTCCTTTGAATAAAGTTTCAATGGTGACGTTATCCTCCTCCAACATCTAGGTAGGCGCAAAGAGCTATTTGTTTGTCCTCCATAGCTTTGTCATTCCTACAATCAGTTCAAGTAGGGCAGTTTCCATAGATTTCCCTTTAAAGCAGTTTCAGTTTCGATCGTAGAAACTACGATTTGCCACCAGAACCAAAACTAAACGCAACCGAAATTTCGATCGGATACTAACACACTAGACCCGCGGGGTGAGTCATGGGCCACGGCCCATTCTCCCTATTCGATTTGATTCCATCCCTAGTAAAGAAAACTTTTTCAATTTTATCGCATGAAAATGACTATCTTACCATCATACTATTCTATAAGTAGGTATCTATTGCCTTGACCAGCCTTGGTACCTACTAATGATTGCGATAATAAAATTTGTAATAGTATGTTAAAAATTGTAAGTAGATCGCCTAGTTGACATAATGGCATTATATTTTAATGATTTAAGTATTTATCTAATTTCAGTAAGTAGATTATGTTTTTATGTCACATTAAAAAACATTGTGTAACAAAAATAGTCCCTAGTCCCTCTCCTATTAACGTATAACTCCTATTAACCACTGGCTTGAGTCAACGATTATTTTGAGGGGACAAATAAAAATCGAAACGAATAGCGCAACATTACCAATTTTTAACAAACTATCCAAATACGAGTACTATGAATAATGTAGTGTTGCATCCAGGGTTGCCAGTTAAAAAATAGACCTGTGTGAAGAAAAGACCTGTAATTTTGTTGCAGTTTCAGAACAATTTAAAACGGTCAAATAATGGTAAAGGCAAAGAACAAGGAATATCCTTATGAATTGATTGAATGAATTGAAAACGTTTTAAAGTCAGTCAAAAGTGTTAAAGATAAAAGTATGAAGTAATTTTTACGTACTTTAAAAGTAACACATGCTTATCGTTTAATGAAATTGTCTCTGTTATTATGCTTTAAGATATTAAAAAAATATATAAAATTGGGCAAAAAGAAAATCATCAATTTTTCACCAAGAAAAAAAACAAGGAATGTCCAGTGCAAACTTGATAACAAGGAATATCCAGAGCAAACTTAAAAAAAAAGGAATGTTCAGTCCAATTTAAATCATATTTAATGCATTATAGTATTCTAGTGTTCATCTAGCACTAATTTCTAGATACTGTATTATTATTATTATTTTCTTCATATTGTAACTTCATTCGATAGCTGTAAGCAGTATGACGACCACAAATCCAATAGACGCCACATGAAATGCAGTAAGCTGTAGCCAAGCATCTATGATTCTGTATAGATCGTTTTAACAAAAGTACATAGTAATACGCGTATGCGAATCCTCAGTTACTTGGTTCGATTTGTGAATATACGCTTTGACGACAACTGACAAGACTTTTCTTTATGATAGAGTAGTTATTAGGTTAATAATGGCAAGTTATAGTGTAAAATGGTGTGGAAAAAATCTAGAACATCTAATTGCAAGAAAGATGGTATAAGTTTTAACCAGTAATATAAATGTTATCTCGCGGGGTTCAGGTATAAGAAGACAATAAGGAAGTATTTAAAAAAAAATTGTTCCCGAACTCAAACTAGATGTCGCTACGGTACGTTCTTGATCCGTTCGTTCTCCATGGCAACCCTTCAGGTTTTCTTTCATGTATAAAAGTAAAT